GGAAGTGATGTTAATGATGGTTGAATACATGCGGAGTTTGCTTGCGAAGTTGTTGGGTTTCACAAAGGCGCTTACAAACTGTTTTTTTCTTATCGGATCGACCGTCGAGTTTTCAGGAATAGCCAGAGGGTATCCTTACAAATTAGACGCAACTATAGTGCTCTGCGGTCTACAAGGTGATAATCGCCATTTCCGAAATTAGGTAGGTTCTCTTTGCTTAAGCCACAGTATGGAGTAGAGAGCGGTCCCTTAGTAGCCGAGGTAGTGTTCATTGCGGGGTGCTAAGCTGTCGTCAGGTACGCTAGTGAATTCTGTTGGTTTCTGTGTATTGTCTGTATAGCTTCCAATTGCTCCAGCTTGAAGTTGATAACATGAGGCATTTGCAAATAGGATGGACTCTCTCCAAGGACTTGGCACATGGGAAGCAATCTCGCCTTTCCATGTTATATGACTTAACCAGACGGGGCAAACTGCTACTAGAAGATATGATCCCGAAAATCTGGCCTTGAACATAAGAAGAAATGACTTTGGTATGCATGCGATCCCTAACATACAATGGTTGTGTGCAAAAAAAGAAAAACGGAAGCCTATATCCATAGAGCCCACCCAAACTCAGGATGGTAGAGAACAACAAGGAGAACTTCGGTGGTAACGAAGAAACACAAATCGTTAGAATTTTCAGAACACCGTTTTACCATCATGAACCGTGAAAAGCAGGCCCAGAGGCCGCTGCCCACTCCCCAAACATTGCGAACTCGAGTCAAGTGCAGGATACATAGCACTAAACTCAGTCGCTCAAAACGATGTTCCTAGTGATCGCTAGGAACACTCAAGACATAATTTACAAACCTTCGACACCGTAATGCGGAGGGTTGAGCCTACAAGCGGACTGTCGCAACTGAATTTATTTGGTACCGGACTTGCGGGCCATGGTGTTGAGGGCAGAGCCATCCTTGAACCACTCGATCTGAGACTCGTTGAAGGTGTGGTTCAGGGAGACGTCGAAGGGAGCGCTGCCATCCTTGGGGTGAACACGGAGAGTCATGGGCTTGCCAACCTCGAGCTGGGTGCAAAGGAGGTCGACGGTGTCCTCAGGGTTGATCTTGTCATAATCGGCGGGATCAGCGAAGGTGAGAGGAAGCATACCCTGCTTCTTCAGGTTGGTTTCGTGCTGTAAAAAAGAGAGTTAGCCTTATTGTGAAAGTGCAAAATGATGAACCTGAAAGACTTACGATACGGGCAAAGCTGCGGGTGATGATGGCGAGACCACCAAGATGTCTGGGCTCCAGAGCGGCGTGCTCACGGGAGCTTCCCTCACCGTAGTTCCAGTCGCCAATGACAACCCACTTAACACCACGAGCCTTGTAGTCACGAGCGGTGGCAGGGACAGCATCGTACTCGCCAGTGAACTTGTTCTTGACAGAGTTGGCCTTGCCGTTCTCAGCGTTGACAGCACCAATCAGCATGTTGTTGGAGATGTTGTCAAGGTGGCCACGGTACTTCAACCATGGGCCAGCCATGGAGATGTGATCGGTGGTGGTCTTGCCCTGGCACTTGATGAGGATAGGGATGCCGGTGGCGTCCTTGCCATCCCAGGGCTGGAATCCAGCAAGGAGCTGCAGACGGTCACTGGTGGGAGAGACAGCCACGTTGACGGTGGAGCGGTCGGCGGGAGGAGCCTGGTAGGTGTCACGGCCGGGGTCGTAGCCCTTGGCGGGGAGACCCTCTCCAGTAGGAGGCTGGAGCAGGAACTCATTGCCGTCCTTGTCCTTCAGCTTGTCAGTGAGAGGATTGAACTTGAGGGTACCGGCAACGGTCATGGCGACGACAAGGTCGGGAGAAGCGACGAAGGCGTGGGTAGCCGGGTTGGCGTCGTTACGGCCAGTGAAGTTACGGTTGTAGGAGGAGATGATGGAGTTAGGCTCGCCCTTCTTGACGTCCTTGCGGTCCCACTGTCCGATGCAAGGACCGCAGGCGTTGGCAAGGATGACACCACCGAACTCCTCCAGAGTCTGGAGCTGGCCATCGCGCTCAATAGTGGCGCGGATCTGCTCGGAACCGGGGGTAACAGTGAAGAGGGACTTGGCCTTCAGACCATGGTTAAGAGCGTCACGAGCGATCGAGGCGGCACGGGACATGTCCTCATAGGAGGAGTTGGTGCAAGAACCGATCAGACCGACCTTGAGCTCCTCAGGCCACTTGTTGGTCTCGACAGCCTCCTTGAACTTAGAGATGGGGGTAGCAAGATCAGGTGTAAAGGGACCGTTGACGTGAGGCTCAAGCTCAGAGAGGTTGATCTCGATCAGCTGGTCGTACTCGGCACCCTCGTCCTCACGCAGCTCCTTGGCGTACTCGCGGGAGAAGTCACCAATGTGCTGACGCTTGGTGGCCTTCAGGTAATCGTACATGCGGTCGTTGAAGGGGAACATGGATGTGGTAGCACCAATTTCAGCACCCATGTTACAGATGGTACCCATACCAGTGCAAGAGAGAGATGTAACACCAGGTCCGTGGTACTCAATGATAGCACCAGTACCACCCTTGACGGTAAGGAGGCCGGCAACCTTCAGGATGATATCCTTGGGAGTGGTCCAGCCGGACATCTCACCGGTAAGCTTGACACCGATGACCTTGGGAGCCTTCAACTCCCAGGGAAGACCAGCCATGACATCGACAGCATCAGCACCACCGACACCAATAGCAGCCATAGCAAGACCACCAGCGTTGGGGGTGTGAGAGTCAGTACCGATCATCAAACCACCGGGGAAAGCGTAGTTCTCCAGGACGATCTGGTGAATGATACCGGAACCGGGCCTCCAGAAACCGATGTTGTACTTGGCGGTGGCACTAGCCAGGAAATCATAAACTTCCTTGTTGATCTCGTTGGCACGAGCAAGATCCTTGTCACCTCCAACCTGGGCCTCGATTAAGTGGTCACAGTGGACGGTAGTAGGAGTAGCGACAGAGGGCATGCCAGCAGACATGAACTGCAGAATGGCCATCTGAGCGGTGGCATCCTGGCAAGCGACACGGTCGGGACGGAGCTTCAGGTAGGACTTGCCACGCTCAATCTCCTGTCCGTGAGGGTCGTCAAGGTGAGAGTACAGAACCTTCTCGGCGTATGTTAGAGGACGCTGCAAGCGACGACGGACAATGTCCAGGTTCTCAGACATCTTCCTGGAAAGTTGATGAACACGTTAGTAACTCAGTGATTAATGCTGATTTCCAGATTCTCCGCATGAGCGGATAGTTTTGGGCTGAGCGCAAAGGGCGTTTGTAGCATACTTGTAGTTGATGTAGTTACCCTGGCGGATACGTTAGCGGATCCTGCTCCCGTAACGAGCTAAACAGCAGCGCTAGACTGGCCGAACAAGACCACTCACCTTCTCAGTGTTGGCCATCTCGACCTTCTTGTCGAGAGGGGAGTCACCGACGGTAGCAAAGGCCCGGGTCCCGAGGAACTGCACGAAAGATCAGTCAGTACATCTGCACTGTTGGTCAAGAGGCCATAACCATGGCTTCTGAGTTGCTCGCTGGAGAACAGCGCTGCGAGCTGAGGTCATGGGGTTCTTACAAGTCGGGACTTGGGGGCCTGTGAGGTATCATGTCAGCTTCTGGAGAAATCATATTTTGGTGGTTTGACCCATCCTTCAATGCATCGCACATGAATGCAGATGCCTGAAGGATGAACTAGGAGCTAGAGTTCACTTACCAGCGCACCGGCGCGCGCAAGCCTTGTGGAGATCATCATGGAAGCTCTCTCTATGTGAGTTGGACAATGCCGCAATACATCCAACGAGAGCCAATCCAAGCAGCAACAACAGCCAGCTGCAGTAAAGAATGGAGTGGAGTGGGAAAGTAAGTAAGAGAAAAAGAGTTAAGGATCAAAGGGAGATGGAGCAGATAAAAAGGAAGCTTGGTGTGGGAAAGAATTCTTGATGAACCGGAGAAGAGGACCCGTAACCGCTCGTGACAGTACGGCCATACGCTTTCGGTACAATTGGCGCCATGCTTGCGACCGGAGACAAGGAAAAATGGCTGGAAGCCCGCCTCCTCCATTATTCTACTGAAGCTCACCATACACCAATGATCTTGATTACAATTGGAAAATTTCTCTAGGTCTTAAGACCGGAGGCCTCCAAAGATTGATCCACAGGCTCATCAGGTGTGTTTGAAAAGGGTCCATCATTAATGGCCTTGCAATGTTGCTGCCAGCCCTAAGGAGTACCTAGTACCCCCATGTCCAACTTCGTTACAGAAAACGGTAAAGGTATGGATTGATGTAATGGGTTTTACCTCTAAGCGGCCTGATGCCCATGCTTCCACTCTGGGGCATGTGAGACGGAAATAGCGCTGGCCCAATCATGTGGCAACAATTATCTATCGTCACTCTGATTCTGTACTGAGGTATCTCGGCAGTGGTCCACTGGCTTCGATTGTAGAAGACGCCTGAATTCCATGACCCTACAGCTCATCCAGGTCAAAATGATTACTTGGTCTTCTCCACGTTGAAGAATATTACAGAGGACTTGTGCTCTATTCATCAAGGGGAACGATCTTGACAGGTGTCCACGGGGGATACCTCAGAAAGCGGCTGTTTATGGGGCTAAGACCATTACTTTACCTGAATCGCAACTGGACGATGCTAGAACGGAGCAACATGCCGAAAAAAAAATGAAAACGTCATAAATTACGGAACGTGGAAAGATGTTGTAATGACTGCATGGGGTTGTGCTGCTTGTGCAGTTGAAGCCGAGTCTGAGCCGAGGTCTACCGAAGGGGTATCCCGCGGGCCGGTGCCAAGCCCAACCAGAACTCACACCAATCAAAAGCGAGTACTTCGAGAAAATCCCTCTTTATGGGCTGAGGCGGAAATTTCGAGACAGTTGACCCGCTTCCAAAGGCCTAAAACTTTTCCATCGTTCCGTATATCGGTGATAACAATTTGTGACCATCTGGTGAATAGTGTCCAGACTATACTAGGTCTACAGATATTCAAGATGGGAGCTGTGAGGAAGATCAAAACAAAGCGCAGAACAAGGTACGATATACAGGGACACACTCATCACGTTCGTCGGTACACTTGAAGAACCGAGCTCTAACATCATTCGTCTTTGTAGGGACTACGATCAGGTCCGAGCGGACATTGATTCTCCCAAGCACCTTACGCAGTACAAAGCCACCAAGGACGCGGAGGATCTTCCAGGTCTAGGAAAGCATTATTGCGTCGAATGTTCGAAATGGTTTGAGAGCGAATACAACCTGGTCGCCCATACCAAGGGCAAAAACCACAAAAGAAGGTCGGTAATTGTAAACGGCGCGAACCCCTTCTTGGACCGATCACAACTGACCGAGGGATGTTTGAACAGATTGCGGATGCTGCGCGAGGAACCTCATTCACAAAAAATCGCAGAGGCTGCTGTCGGTCTGGGTACCGACAATGGGTTGCGACAGCAGGAAACGGTCGTTGACATGGAGGACTAGACAGCCTATAGCCTAACGGTCATCCTCAACAAAGAACCACCTTCGATAGATACACTATCTTCGACCCTCTGTTCAGGCTGCAAACTCGGCGACAAACTCTGCACGACTGGATTACACCTTCAGGTTCTTGTCGTTTCCCTTGAAGGCAACAGCGAAGCTCTTTCGTCCAATCAGCAACCAGGCTGGGTCTGAACCGCACATGAAACCACATGTTCCGAACTTCGCCAGTTATTGGCGATACCAAAGCCGAGCAAACCAATTCCGGTTTGCGGTGACCTTCGAATCGCCGGTTTTCGGTCCTGTACTAGCATTGGCCCACATTTATTTGGGTCTTAGTATGAAAATTATTTACTAGCTGCAATAAATACCAGATACATCGGTATAGTCTACAAGTTGATCTTAAACATAACAAATGTGCCTTCTACTTTATACTTCCAGTAACTCCAGCAACACAGCTCTGTGTCTGATCGCACGGGCTGTTTAGATACTTCATGAGCCATTCGTATGTTGCCCACTGTTGCGCATGATTAGCAAATGCCACTTCGTGGTGATGACACTGTTGAGAACACATACCTGGACAGCGTTCACTATGAAAGCTCGCAAGCTGCAAATTCCCAGGCCTCGGTAAAAGGCTTTCAACCCTTCGGATAGATACGCGGCTTTGGCAATCTGGTAGGAGTTCAGTGTCTGTGGGTTGCTCTGTAAATGTATCAGTGGGCGGGACTCGGGTGCCGTTGCAATTGTCTGCGCTTGCAGTCTCGTCTTAATCATATCCAGCGGGTAGACAGAAGCCCATGTGGTCACTCCAGCAATGCCTCCGCAAAGAAGTACTTTCAGAGCAATCTCATGCGCGTTATCATTCTCAGAGGACATAAGACGTTTGCAGTACTCGTAAGACCAGAAACTGTGGGTGGCATAGGTAAATAAACGTCCGACTAGAACTGGCGGGGAAAGATCTGGGGAAGTATTGTGCATACTAAAATCCGTAGCCAATCGAGTCTCTGGCGCAAGTAATCACACCTCCGAAGTAGAGACCCATCAATCCTCGGGTCCGAAAGATGTCCTTGGCGACTGTCCACGAAGAGATCCCGGGGCGAGTGTCAAGTTGCGCTCGGCATTTGATGAACTCTGTGGGAGATGAGACCGTCCAGCTGGCCACTCCGCCAGCAGCACCAGCAAGCCAGATTTTGTAAAGCGAAACACCGAAAGGATTTGTGGGATCCTTTACCGAATCATCCATAAACATCAATGAACGATTGTAGGCGACAAATAGAAGCGCATTAAGCGCTCCATATCCCAGTATGGGAGCAGCAGCACCTGCAGAATACCTATGTCAGTGCTTATGTCAGGTTACGCATCGTGAAAGGGCCAACCAACCTCGCACAAGGGAGCTCGCATTCTCAAATGAGCCTATGTTCTGGCTTGTTGATCCAGCTACATCAGCCCCGCCAGCTTGTATTCGAACCTTGACAACATCTAGAGGGTTGCCGATTATGATTCCAATGGCCCCACTGAGGTATCCCGCCCAAAAGTCCGACGACATTGAGAACAATTTCTCAACGTCGACAGCTTGAGTAGTGGCTACCTACATCGTTATTAATCCTACCATGGCTAATGGCGGGGTCGGCTACAATATCCGCACGTGATTGCGTGGTATTTTGGTGTTCCGTCAACGGTGGAAACGCGCCAAGTATTGCGGACAACGCGTCGAGAGGCAATTCACCGGATCAAGCAACCTTGATTGATGACCGCAGACAGCGACAGGGCAACCAAAGAAGCCACTCGAAAACCTGATCTTCTATAGGGGAAGCCATCAATGTAAGTACCTCCTAGTCTTTATGTCCCAATGAGCCTAACTGACAGAAATAGGTATCGCCCGCGACCAGCCGTAGGAATCGAAGGTGGAAACACCCCGTTATCCAAGCCACTACAGAAAAGCGTGTCATCCAACTCGATAGACCGTCTTTCAAAGCCTTTTAAATGTCCGGGGACTGCCGCCCCTACGCGAACTTCAGATAAGCCTGCGAGAAAACGAAGAAAAGTCAACTATGCGGGAGCAGATGGAGAGGTGGAGGACAACACCGTCAAGCCATGGACCAACGAAGAACGTCTTGCTCTTGCGACGAGAGACGCGAATAAATTCCCCGTCTTCAAAGTCAAGGACAAAGAAACCACCTTTAAGCAAAGATTTCGTATCCCTTTGATCAACAAGTCCTCTGATGAATATAATCCTTCGAGACCAACTCCCACTTTGGGAATGAGGCAAGGTGCCACGTTTGTTGTGAAACCACTACATGATCCCAGTGGAGAATTTGCGATAGTTCTATATGATCCAACCGTCGACGATATTGACGAGCCTCCGGAGTCGAAGCCCGAAGACAAGGATACCCAGGAAACTAAAGCCAAGCTGGATGAGCCACTGATGCACAAGAGCCTAGCAGATATACTCGGGCTGAAGAAGAAAGTTGAATCTCGTCCTAAGGTCCCAGTGGTCATAGATCCCAGACTGGCGAAAGTTCTGAGGCCGCATCAAGTGGAAGGTGTAAAGGTAATGATTCTCTCTACATCCACGCGAACACGAATCCCAGAAACTGACTCGTCTTTTCCGCAAGTTTCTTTATCGCTGTACAACCGGTATGATAGATAAAAATGCAAATGGTTGCATTATGGCCGATGGTATGGGATTGGGAAAGACTGTATGTCGCACCTTCTTTCGATATATTGATCAAGCCTAACATTGACAGCTTCAATGCATTTCCCTGATGTGGACACTTCTGAAGCAATCACCGGAAGCAGGAAAGACGACAATTCAAAAATGTATTATTGCTTGTCCCTCCAGTCTGGTTGGCAATTGGGCCAACGAACTCGGTAAGCCCCAAGCCCTTTGCGTCAGTCGCTTATATTAATATGGGTAGTGAAATGGCTGGGAAAGGATGCAATAACGCCGTTCGCGATAGACGGCAAAGCCTCGAAGGCGGAGCTCACCTCCCAAATAAAGCAATGGGCAATCGCATCCGGGCGGGCCGTGGTCAGGCCTGTTCTCATAGTTTCTTATGAAACTCTTCGAATGTATGTCGATGCATTAAAAGACAGTCCAATTGGGCTTCTTTTGTGCGATGAAGGCCATCGACTCAAGAACAAAGACAGTTTAACATGGACTGCTTTGAACAGTCTGAATGTGACTCGCCGTGTAATTTTGTCTGGTACCCCCATTCAGAATGATCTCTCGGAGTATTTCGCTCTACTTCATTTTGCCAACCCAAATCTGCTGGGCTCGCAAAACGAGTTTCGAAAGAGATTCGAAATACCTATTCTAAAAGGACGAGATGCCGCAGGAACAGAGGAAGATCGGAAGAAAGGCGACGAGCGCTTGGCGGAGCTGTCCGGTATTGTGAACAAATTCATCATTCGCCGGACGAACGATATTTTGTCGAAGTATCTGCCGGTCAAATACGAGCATGTTGTCTTCTGCAATCTTTCCCAATTCCAGCTTGCTCTCTACAACCATTTCATTCAAAGCCCCGAGATCAAGAGCTTACTTAGGGGAAAGGGAAGTCAACCTCTCAAGGCCATTGGAATATTGAAAAAGCTATGCAATCATCCGGATTTACTTGATCTCACTAGAGATCTTCCAGGTTGCGAGCATACGTTCCCTGAGGACTATGTTCCACCTGAAACTAGAGGTCGAGACAGAGATGTCAAATCTTGGTACTCGGGAAAGATGACGGTTCTTGATCGTATGCTGGCTCGTATACGTCAGGATACCAATGACAAGATTGTTCTCATCAGCAATTATACCCAAACTCTCGACTTGTTCGAGAAACTCTGCCGATCGAGAGGCTATGGCTCGTTGAGGCTGGACGGTACTATGAACATAAACAAGCGGCAAAAGCTCGTCGACAAATTCAACAATCCAGACGGTGAGGAATTCGTGTTCCTTCTAAGCAGCAAGGCCGGAGGCTGTGGATTAAATCTGATCGGGGCAAACCGCCTTGTGTTGTTCGATCCAGATTGGAATCCTGCTGCAGACCAGCAGGCCTTGGCTCGAGTTTGGCGTGACGGACAAAAGAAAGATTGTTTTGTTTATCGTTTCATTGCAACTGGGTCGATTGAGGAAAAGATCTTCCAACGTCAATCCCACAAGCAATCACTCTCGTCATGCGTCGTGGATTCGGCTGAAGACGTTGAGCGACATTTCTCGCTGGAGTCCCTCCGCGAGCTGTTCCAGTTCAAGCCAGAAACGCGAAGTGACACTCACGACACATTCAAATGTAAGCGATGCAGACCGGACGGAACGCAGTACATTAAGGCTCCAGCAATGTTGTACGGCGACACCAGTTCCTGGAATCATTTTGTGAATGATGGTGAGAAGGGCCTGCTCAGTAAGATCCAAGATCTACTGATACGCCAGGAGACCGGTGAAAAGGATGTGTCCGCCGTCTTCCAATATATTAGTCATTAAGGCTCTACTCTCATGCCGATTCTCGCTTGGAGCCTTTACGGCTTTCATGTTAGATTTTGGAGTTTTGGGATCATCTTGATGCCTTGTTATAGTCCCCGCGGTTAGAGCGATTAGGTACTCAACGTAACTTAGGACACCATACGTGATAGGACATAGAGATATAGTTGAATACGTTTTCCCGCGGACGCATATATAAGTCGTACGTTGAGAGACTGTACGTCAAGGATTTGTTGTACCGCTAGACTCGAGTATCCATGGTCGGCGCTAAGGCCTGTCTTTGATGGTTGACAACTACGTCACTTCACTTCCACTAAGATATCCCCATCAACTCTGCCAACGCATCTACGCTGTGAGTGCTCCCCACATTGCTATCGCAACGGCCAGGCGCGCGTAAGCAGCTGACTTAGCAGTTTCGCAGCCCTATTTGGTTCTAACTGTGCAGAGGGTGCAGCCTGGTATTGATGGTTTTTCCATAGCTACAGGTCGTTGAGTTCGAGTCCCTGATTCACCGCCAAGTCTAGCCAGAAATCGTCCCTCCACCATGAGCACTATTTAACAGAAAATCGAGAGTCGAGAACTCATCAAATCTATGCTTATTTGAGCTATGGATCATTCGATTCAGCGCCTGCTGAATGACAAGCTCTATGATCGCAGAAAACAGGGAGCTCTAGAGTACGGTTGACCGATTGTCTCCAGGAAAGTCTTTGACCGACAAGATACTGATTAACCATATTCAGGCTTGAGAAAGTCGTTCGCAATGCTGTTTTTCGAGGAGATCATGAAGAGATCCAGAAGATTGTCGATCAGCTTTGTCATGATTACGCCTACGCCGTACATCAGCCGCATGCGAGAAATGGTGGTCTGATCGGGTTAGCTGCGGCTTCAATAGCGCTTGGATCCGTGAGTCTGTTTGGATAGGTTGCAATGATATCGCTGGTGCTGAGACTGGACTGAATTAGGAGGGCGTTGCGCCATATCTAAAAGAGATTGTGCCACCGGTTCTTGCTTGCTTTTCCGACCAAGATGCCAGAGTCCGATACTACGCGTGCGAGAGCATGTATAACATTGCGAAAGTCGCCAAGGGGGAGGTTCTTCCTTTTTTCAATGACATATTTGACGCTCTGAGCAAAGTAAGTCGTCCCTAGCTATTTTCTCTGTTTTCTTGTGTACAACTGTCAGGGTCTAAAATCGAATTCAGTTAGCTTCCGATTCTGAGCTTTCTGTCAAAAACGGTGCGGAGCTTCTCGATCGACTCGTCAAGGACATTGTTTCGGAATCTGCTGCCTCCTACATATCAGTTTTGCAATTATCAGAGAAGCATACGGCAGACCCTGATGCGCAGGAAGAGGTCGAGCTTCCCACTGCGTTTTCGTTGGCCAAGTTCATACCCTTGCTGAAGGAACGGATACATGTCATCAGTCCATCCACACGCACTTTCTTGGTGTCATGGTTGACCTTACTGGATACCATTCCCGACCTGGAGCTTGTGTCATATCTGCCGGAATTCTTGGGAGGATTAATTGAGTTCCTTGGTGACCCGAACAGAGACGTCAACGTCACCACTCAGACTCTTCTCGACAGGTTTCTGTCCGAAATCAAGAGGATTGCACGCCTCAAGAAGGGCATAGAAGGGAGTCGCAAAGAGCAAGGGAGCGACAACAGACAGTCGGCTGCGAGTGATAGTGTCAGCACTACTACTGATAACACAGTGGCTGTGGACACTGAACGCAGTGAAAATGCTATCGAGGACTCCGAGCCCGAGTCAGACCTTGAGGAAAATGACTTGCAGGCTGACGGGGACTGGATCCCCGGGCAAGATGTTCACATTGACTATCCCAAGATCCTGGACATCCTTGTGGCTTTTGTCGATACCTCATTCGGTAAGCAAAATGAGTGGTGCGTTATGCCGTAGTCGCATACTAAACACTGAGTTAGATGAGGAGATGCAGTTAACTGCATTACGCTGGATTGACAGCTTCTTCGAGATTAGCCCTGAAGATATCCTCCCTTTCGTCCCGCGTCTCTTGACACAGGTTCTCCCAGCAATGTCTAGTGGTTCAGACCAAGTGCGGCAGGCCGCAAACCGCGTCAACACATCATTGCTCGAGTATATCGTCACCTTGTCTGAGGATAGCACCGAGGAAACACGACAGGGTCCGCCTTCCGGACCAATATCCGCAAGCAAAGAGCTTGTGGAGAGAAGAGCATCGACACCAAGTGGTCGTCGATCTGTCGAAACGTCCACGAGTGAGTCGAAAAAGCAAGCCTCTCAACAAGATTTCCCCAATGAGCAGACACCTCGTAGCAGTGTGATATCTACACCAATTCCTCCAGCCGATCTGGATTATGCCGCAGCCGTCAACTCGCTGACTTTGCAGTTCCTGAATGAGAACGAAGCCACAAGGGTGGCTGCCCTGTCTTGGTTGATTATGTTGCATCGGAAGGCGCCAAAGAAAGTGGTGGCATTCAACGACGGGACATTCCCTGCACTTCTGAAGACGCTGTCAGACCCTGCGGAAGCTGTTGTCACAAAGGACCTCCAGCTTCTTTCACAGATCTCGAGGAACAGCGATGATAGCTACTTTACATCTTTCATGGTTAATTTGCTTCAGCTCTTCTCCACCGACAGGCATCTGTTGGAAGTCCGAGGCAACCTTATCATTCGACAACTCTGCATGAATTTAAGTCCAGAGCGTATCTATCGGACTCTAGCAGACTGCCTCGAGAAAGAAGAAGTTAGTTTCCTCCTGTATGCAATTTTTCCAGGTGCTGACTGGTATGTTGTCTAGGACATCGAGTTTGCAAGTATCATGGTACAGAATTTGAATAATAACCTGATCACTGCACCTGAGCTATCAGATCTCAGAAAGAGGCTAAGGAATCTTGACTCCAAGGTAGGACAACGTCTTGAGTCGGCGGCTGCAAGCAGTTACTGACATATCCCGAAAGGAGGGTCAGATGTTCTTTGTCGCTCTGTTCCGGTCATGGTGCCACAATGCTGTTTCCACATTCTCCCTCTGTCTGCTTGCGCAGGCTTACGAGCAGGCTTATAACCTTCTTCAAGTCTTGTACGTTTACCGGTCCCTTCCCCAATCTCTGACGGTGATTAACGTAGAAACCAGTGCTGAGCTTGAGATGACTGTGAATATGTTGATCCAAATTGATAAACTAGTTCAGCTCCTGGAGTCGCCTGTCTTTACCTGTTAGTTTTCCTCCTACCTATATGACCCGTCGAATTTTGAGACTAAGGTACAGCAGATCTTCGTCTCCAGCTCCTCGAACCAGAAAGATACCCGTATCTGTACAAGTGTCTCTACGGAGTTCTCATGCTCCTCCCTCAAAGCAGTGCATTTGCTGCGTTGAAGAACCGTCTAAACAGCGTCAGCAATATTGGCCTCCTGCACACCGGCCCTCGACTGTAAGGGAAAATTTCACCTGGTGCAAGGAACCTGAGCTGACAGAGAACCAGTACGAACATGGTGTCATCCTCATCATCAGGCTACGAACGTGCCTCTGGCAGTCGACTGAAAGGCCGCGAGGAAAACACCATCCGGTGGGTCGAACTCCTCGACAAGTTCAAGTCCGTCCAGGAGAAAGCCCGCCGCGCGCAACGTGCCTCACAAAGGCTGTTCGACCAGGACGGCAGCACCGCAGGACTTCGAAACCCTTCCCTCACTGCCGCCCTGTCTGCCGCTGCAACAGCCGACAGGGGCAAGGAGCGGGGGCTGCCGGACTCGCCTCGAGGCAGCAAACCGGACATAGGTGGCTCGGGTGGGCGCAATAGCCCCGGAGACTCTGCCATACCTAACCGTGGCTCGCTCCTTAGTGGTACGCAAAGGAATAAGTCGGGGCTTCCTAATCTCGGCCGTCTAGGTATTGGGAGCAGAAGGTCCAAGCGTTGAGAGAAACTAGCGTTGTCTGCGCACAACCAGACTGTCTGCTGTTCAACTTTCTGGAGTGCTTCAACATGATGATGCCATTTGCGCTTCAGAGGTTTCCGGCTGTCCGCCTCTTTCTTTCACGCATACCCAAGTGGCTGATACGAGGAATGTCGTTGACCCAAGGGCGCGTGGTTCGAGCCAGACTATATCTATACCCACAGTGATATCCATACAGATGACGTTACTACAGTTTGTCTTTTTATTGCAGTACTTATGGAAGAGCAACTATGGTTGGTCAAAGGTCTATAGTGATTTGACTCAAAATATTCGAGTATAAACCATATGCACAGTTAGTTGTCCAGCGCTCGCCACGGGAGAAAATCCATTCCGTATAAGTCATTGCGACGACCCGCTAATTTTGCATGCACTCACGTATAATAAAGTAGAAAAGGAGGTTAGAAAGTCCAAAGTCTTGAAAAGTCGAAGAAAGAGTAGGGCGCGGGAGTGTCATGTTCCCAAGTCAAATTTCCAAAAGAGGAAAGAAGATCATGCAAAGATGGTTGACAGTGAGGTAGGCCAAGTGGTAAATCGGTATGAAAGCCAAGTCATTCAACAAGGGTGACCAAGTCCATTGACTTGGATTTGAAATGATCGCAGATCACGAGGGAGGGAAGTAAGGGCGCCTGTCTTCTAGGTCGGAGTTGAAAAGATCGGCAGTCAAGGATCGGAGTTGTCCGAAATGTTGCCCGGATTCTTCTTCCTCTTCACCCGTAAGCATCGCACGGCTTGAGCCAGGTACTGAGGCCTGCTGAGAGGGTATGATGACAGTATGGTGTGTGCCCGACGATCGATACTAAGTACATCAGGCAACATAGGTCCGTGTGACTAGCGCACCCTCCCGCCCATTCAGCCTGCGTGCCTGGCACTCAAGCGCGAAAACGAAAACGACAAAAGAGTCTGGAAAAAAAGAAGAGAGAAAAGAGGACCCCTATGGGCCGGGCAGAAGTGGCCCCGTACCTACCATTTGACAAACATCAATAGGGGCGGACATCCCTTTGGCGGAGATCCGCATCATCAATCAAGTGACATCATACTTCGCTTGATCAGCGCTTGATTAGGGCCTGAGGTAGGGCTAGGTTAGGGCTTGGTTAGCGCTTATGAAACAATTTCTCCACAACACCCGTCTTCCAATCATAGTTCTATTATTATTGGACTGTCAGCGACTCAACCATCCCCCCCTTTTATCCACTTTGAGTCTAATTACCAGAACACCAATAACGATAACCATGGCGTCGGAGATCATTTCCGGCGGCGTTGGCGCCGAGCTCAAGGACCCTCGTCGTCTGGAGCTTATCGAAAAACTTGACCGTGCTCGAGGCGGCAATGCAGACTGTGCCCAAGAGGTCTGGGCGGCCCTGTGGCTGTGTTCTGTTGAGAAGCTGGAAGAATATGTCAAACAGATAGAGATGAGCCCAAGCAGCTTAGCTGCAACCTCACTCTATACGAAGGTTGTTTTGACTGATATCATTAAACCATGTATGTTCTCACTATTTCTACGCAACTAACTATGTATTTTCAAAGTTACTCAACCCTCTTTAGGGTTGACCAGCGGTACTAAAAAAAGCTATGCATCATCTGGTCCTGGAACCCCTGTGGGTGGTGCTGCGTCCCCTGCAAGCCCATCAACCCCGACCACCACCTCCTCGACGACCCCGAACCCGAGGAAAAGGCTACGTTTAGACACAACTGTGTCGTCTCCAGCTGCTGACTCCCCGAGGTCTGCTGCAGCAAAGGATTTAGTATGTGTATGACTTCAACATGTATTTACAGATGGGCTGACTTGATTCTACCACAGTCTCTCGAAAGAGACGGAGAGATTTGCGTCATCACAAAGATGGGGATTTGCGCGGAAAGCGCCCACATATATCCCTATTCTCTTCGTGAACGCGCTGGTCGTAAGTGCGAGAGATTCTGGACAGCGCTGTCTATGTTTTGGCCACAAAGTACTATTGATGAATGGAAAGCCGACGTCTTCGGAGGCACGAATACTGAGCTCTGTGCCAATAGGATCACTCTCAGCCCAGATGCGCATGCATACTGGGATAAAGGTCTCTTCGCCTTCAAGCCTGTTTCAATGAGTGAGGATAAGAAAACTCTGAAGCTGGAGTTCCACTGGCTGTGGCCAGTGCCGCGATCTTCCACTATGGTTCTGAGCAATCCACCCACCCTCGAAGAGTCTCTAGATCGCAGTAATAAAGAAGTTTGTCTCTTCGACGCCACAACAGACCTCAGGATTAAGTCTGGCCATGAGATCATCATGAAAACCGATGACCCTCTCCGTCGTCCACTCCCGAGTATTAAGTTACTCAAGCTGCAATGGGCACTCCAGAGATTGGCATCGCTGAGCGGTGCTGCGGAAGCCATCGATGAGTTGTTGGACAGCGATGATGAAGGAGACCACGACATGGTCAGACTTTACGAGTCCCAGGAAGATTTCTGCGAGATTGACGATGTCTTTTGATGACAATGTATGTGTGTTTATGAGCCACCCCTCTCTCGTTCGAGGCTAGCGTGGATAAAAAGGCCGCCGCGAAGACAACGGACCGCCTCGAAGGTTCCCATGGGGGCATGACTATGGCCGTCAGGGGCGTTTGAGGACCGGGGGATAGTCTGATTCTTCGTTGAGTGGATACATAATAGGATCTAGCATGCTGCTGGTTATTCTCTACGAGATCGTCACCAGCCTAACACTATGGCCGAGCCTTTTAAATGTAAAGTAGGGCCTTTTGCTATTTCCAAAATGAAAGGAGTGTTTCAAGCATTATTAAACCAGATCATGTAAATCAAGGCAAATCTATGAAAGTCATCGTAGGTCATTTTGCCCAGAAAGAAAATGCCGGCTGACATGATATACGCCCGGGCTTGGATCCTCCAGACACGCCCATGTCCTTTCTGGTAAGCTCTTCCATGCATCTAGAATGCCTGTTGGAGGGTTCTGTCTCAGACTTGGATTGAGTGGCACAATCGGCTCGTCATCGTCAGGTAGCGTGGACGCCGCAATCCGGATAAAAACTGTTCGTGCGGGAAGTGTAACCATACACATTATGAAGAACAGTATTAGACCCAGAATGGCAAGCTTATAGCCTCCACGCAATACATGAATACCTTTTGGGTCTAGAATATCTTCATCATTGATGAAGCCACATATGTTTAAGACATAAATTGTGAGATCCAAAGCATACAGCAGCACTATCTAATAGGTAACAGCTTCTAAGAAGATGATGGGTACAATACAAATCCAGCATCTGAGTCCAGGGAGTCTCTGATGGGTGTATTTTGCGGATGGCTTCGTGATAACAGTATAGACCCAGAGAACTTGTAGGTTTGCAAGGAGAGCTAGAAAAAGAATTAAGTGTAGGTGTCTTTTCCATATTAAGCTATCACTGATGGTGAATAGCGCTGGGAGTAAAGCAATCCATATGAAATCATATATAATAAACAATAGGAATCCGCGCAGGCAGAACAGCGGACCGGCGTGGACGCGTAAATGGTGGATTATGGTGCGAAAAGAGTCAGTGATGCCGGACTGGGGACTTTTGATCATGGCAATTGTTTGGATGACCATCGCGTAGGAGTATTGAACCTGTGGATATGAGTGAGCATCCGATCAATGTGAGGGCGTCTGGTATACTCACTAGACACCACAGCACGATGAAAGCTTCTGGGAACATTTTTGGTTGCTAGGGATAATCTAGGACTGACGGGCTTTTTAGACTTCAGGTGCTCTCCTACTCGGTTATCCCTCCGTCTTCCCGATGTCAGTTTATACTCTTCGATGGGTCCTGGACTCCGGCCATAACGCTAGGCCATGTGTGCTAAATAATTAAATAAGTTCTCTAGTGGCACACCAGGCAATCTTGTCGTCAGGATTAAGAATTCCTAGTTAAATAGATTATCTGGATGCTCCCCACAGCCTAAGAATCTCAGAATAGGTATTCTAGCAGCTGCAGCCATTTGCATAGCAATAGCCTCCTCTATGCTTATCTGATCTGTCCATTTCATAACTAGCCTAAATGATAGTTACATAATATACGCGTTAAATGGGACTTTAAACCATGTGCAGTGCCATTATAAAATTCGGGGCGGGCCGTCCGACTCCATAGAAGAACGCGAGAAAAATCGAATAGCAAGCATTCATATGTGATCGGAAACGTCATCATATCCTCCGCACAAACATAATGCTGAGAATATACAAAGGTAAATGGAGAGAAGTGGAAAAGAAGAGAAAATTCGGCGTCAGATCGGTCCGTCACCGCCATCGCGACTCGGAACCGGAACCACCCCAGGTCGGGGTCTTCCAGTGACTGCCTGTTGAATGTTTGGAGACAGTTCCTGTCGGCGAGTTCGAGCCGTTAGAGTAGACATATTCGCCATCGACGTATTGGATGCCGGAGAATGTGCTGCGGTGCTTGCGACGGGCATAGCGCTGCTCTAACCTGTAGAGCTCGATCTCTGCGGATGGGATGTTAGGAGACACATTGAGTTCGTGATTGTGTTCAGAGGGATATGGAATTGCTAATCGATAGCAGCGAGGATCCGAATGGACTTACTTGCTTGCAACTTCTCGATGAAACCCATTGTGTCTCAGAGGGACTCGGCTTTGAGTCGTTATCAATCACAAAGAACCGGAGATTAATGCGGTACTCGAATTCAAGACGGGCCCACGCCGTTCGCAAGGTATATGTATAAATATAAAGAGGTAGATTTATATATCAAGTTTGAGAGGTTGAAGTCAATTGAACGAGTGAAGACAGTACCTCTCAGGGGAGGGCTGAGAAAGAAAGTAAGATGAGGAAAAGAGGGGAAAACGGCGATAGGACGGAATCGAAGAAGAACCCTGGGGAAGAAAGGCTAAACGGGTCGTGGCGCGAAAAGTCTCTTTCAATAAAGGATGCCGAATCGTCGAGATAGCCAACCCAATAGGACGGTAGGTAGGTAGGTATCTGATTAATAGAAGAGCCGACGTGATAAGAAGGATATATGAATGATAGTGGGCTCAATAGTCTATGTCAAAAAAGAGCGATGGCTGGTTGATAGTATGCTGGACGGGAATATGGCAGCTGCAAAGAATGTGGGAAGCAATACAATTGGTGGTTGAGTGCACGCTAACCACAATAAAGTATGTAGCAAATCAACTATTGGCAATGAAAGAAATATAAAAAGAGGGAAGTATTACTGTAGTCTAGAGAGTTGTAATACTCCGTGGAAAGACACAAAAGAATGGCAAGCGATCAGATGGAAGCAGAGGGAAAGGGGAGTTTGTGAACAACAGGAGAGAGAAGTAGATACGATGCTCCATACCGTAGTAGACAACAGACGGCTGCCCAGACTACCAGCAAAGAACAGGGCACTGTACCTGACTTAGTGAGTGTCTAAACCAGCATGAGCCTAGTAAATCCCGAATAGTAATTCCTAGTGCGGAGTTCGCCATGGAAAAATAGCGAAAATACGTGGCCGAGGGGGAAAATGACGCGAGGCTAGTCCTGGAACGGACTAGCCAGGGGTCTCAGTCCCACTTTCCCTTGGTTCCGCTTGCCCATTTTGGGCGTAGTTCAAGGCCCGCGAACCCGCCTAAGGCCCCAACGCGCCTCCAAGTCCTTCCAGGCCGACTTCTCGGCCAGTCTGGCTGATTTCTGGCGTTCTCGTTGGTGTCTTTGTGCGATGGACCCAAATGGTGCAATACTCCGTACTCCATATCGTATGAAACCATGGGGGATATTGAGCCGAGCGGGAACAAGTGCGCTGGTGGTCTAAAAACCATGTGGCGCGCACGGATGGAAAGAGGGAAAGATAGCGATGCTGCGATAGCGGGAATTCATGGAAGAGTTCATCTATCTCGTACATTAGACTGACAACCGTCTTCTTCTAATAAAATATTTTTAGTGGTTATGAGTCCGTCAGCATCGACAGCATTTAGGCAAGGATTTTGTTCTGCTGCGGAGTATAGTGACGTTGTCCAGTGTTTTCTGGGTTACACACTCGATCCCCACGTTGGCTGGGATATGGACTTACCTGCTTCAACGCCCAAGACACTCCTTCTGTACAATTTGTTATGGTGGCTAAATCAATCTAACAAATCCTTTTTGCGAGATCTCACTCTGGATGAAGCCTCGTCCTCAACGGAATTGATCGGTTCGTCACTTGTATAATGTTTACATACACTTCGCTCAGAGAAAAGCAAGCTCGATCAACGGTTTTGTACCCTCGTCTAGCTTAGACAATCATATACGCTGTACGGAGTACAGTCGCATCAATCCAGAATTATATATGTACATCGATTGACCCGATCGACAATAATCAAAGGAAGTTTAAGGAGGTATTTTATTATTGTTGCGCTTTTGGCCCGGGCGCCATATCCCTTTCTTTCGGCTCCACATCGTCACGCTCAGTCTCCCGTTCAAGCTCGAGATCTTGTGCCAGAGACATTTCTTGGGCTGCACAATCCATCATTAGCTCCAGTTCAATCCGTATGTTCATATTCCTGCCGAGTATACTCACCATTCCACAGCTCAGCATAAATGCCATTCAGATCCAACAATTCTCGGTGGGATCCCATTTCTGCCACACGACCATCCTTGAGAACGAGGACCTGGTCGCTGTCATAGATAGTCCGCAGTCGGTGCGCCACGAACACGCTGGTGCGCTTCTTTTCTTTCAAAATGCTGTTGATGTTTTGCAACAGTGCCTGTTCCGTGTATGTGTCGAGGGCGGAGGTCTGTATTCTTTCAGTCAGCTACTTCATCACTCAAAACCAAACTTGAGTCCTCGCATATCATACCGCTTCATCAAAGAACAATAGCTCCGGATCCTTCAGAATCAGGCGAGAGATGGCTAATCGTTGCTTCTCACCCCCTGAAATCATCATACCTCTTTCTCCCACCGCAGTCTGATACCCTTCGGGCAATTTCTGAATCAAACCATCAATGCGTGCTCGTTGAGCGGCCTTGCGCACTTCCTCATCGGTTGCATCGATTCTTCCATAGCGGATATTATGGGCAATGGTGTCATTAAACAATGGCGTATCCTGCGGCACAACTCCAATCGCTTTGCGCAAGCTCTCAAGAGATACATCACGCACGTCTTGATCATCAATCAGGATTCGACCCTCCTGGACATCATAGAATCGGAATAAGAGTCTCAGGATAGTGGACTTGCCGCATCCACTAGGGCCCACGATAGCAAACTTCTGTCCTGCAGGAATTGTAAAGCTAGCGTTCTTGAGGATAGGACGGTCGGGGTGATAGCCGAAGGTGACATTTTCAAACTTGATCTCGCCTCCTTTGTGGAGCTGGAGCGGTTTGGCGTTGGGCTTCTCCTTGATGTTGACGTTGACCTTTTGCAAATTGAACAGCGTCTCCATATCTAGCAAAGACTGACGAAGTTCACGATACACTGATCCGAGGAAATTAAGTGGTACTGAAAGCTGAAAGACCAGCTGATTCACCATAACCAGGTCGCCGA